TCCTGGTAGGATTGCGGAGGTAAGAGAGGGGGGCTGGGAGCCCACAGACAGCAGCGGCCTTAGCTGTGAGCAGTGCCCTCAGGTTAAACTCCAAAGCGGTTCCACAGCCCAGAGCAGGGACAGATGCCAAAATAGCCACAGCCACTCACATTGGGCGCTAGGAGAGGAAGGGTGGACTGGACCGGAACTGTGTGGAGACACTCAGGATTTGGAGGGTGCTCAGAGCTTTTGCTGAGTTGTAGCCACACAGGACAGTGGCCATATTACTCCTTCCCAGGGCTCTGGAGAGAGGCAGCGACCCCTCCCTCAGAGATTCAACCCAACTCAGGTGGGCCATTGAAATGCAAATTGAGGCTCATTAACAACCAGCATGTGCCCCACCCTTGGGAAATCTTATGCTGAACACTTGAGAAAGTTTTTTATTCAACTGAGAACCCAAGGCTCTTCAAGTAACCACTACTGATAGCCTCCAGGCAAAAAGCTAGAGGATAACTGTACCATTCCTGGTCTAGCAACTCTAGCCAGGAAAGTAAGACTTGACAGTGGTGTTTAACATGGGCCCTCCCTCGCTCATCCAAACCCAAGAGAGGGAGCCACAAACAGCAGAACACCAACATCCACAGGGAAAATTTGGCCGGCTCCAAAGCCCACTGTGATAGCCAAAATGGTGAAACACAGAAACAAAAGCCAAATGAAGGAGCAAGAGACCTCTACAGAAGATGAGATAAATGTGGAGCAGTTAAGCAAGTTAACGGCGCTAGAATTCAGAACCATGATCTTGAGGAAGCTCAACAGCATGAGTAAGGACATCAATAACATGAGTAAAGACATAGAAACACTGAAAATCAACCAATTGGAAATTAAAAACCACCAAGAAGAAATAAAGACTGACATATCAGAAATAAAGAACACATTGAAAGGTCTAAACAGCAGGCTAGAGGAAGCTGAGGACCACATCAGTGAATTAGAAAACAGGGTTGAAAAAAATCAACCAATCAGAAAACCAAAAGGAAAAAAAAAAAACAATTAAAAGACAGCAAGACAGATTAAGAGAACTGTGAGACAACTGGAAACGTAATAACATTCGCATCACATGAGTCCCCGAAGAGAAAAAAATGGGCAAGGGTTGGAGAATATATTTGAAGAAATAGTGACAGAAAACTTTCCTAACTTGGTGAAGGAAGAAGGCATTCAAGTTCAAGAAATACAGAGAGCCCCAAGTAAGAAGAACTCAAACAGGCCCATGCCAAGACACATAGTAATTAAAATGCCAAAAATTAAAGACAAAGAGAGAATCTTAGAGGCAGCAAGAGATGAGCAACAGGTTACATACAAGGGAACCCCCATAAGGCTTTCGGGTGACTTCTCAACAGAAATACTACAAGCCAGAAAGGTATGGCACGAAATAATCAAGGTCATGAAAAACAAGGATCTTAATCCAAGACTACTCTACCCAGAAAGGCTATCATTCAAAAAAAAAGCTCAAATAAAGAGATTCCCAGACAAAAAAATTTTAAAAAGGCTAAGGGAATACATTAGCACCAAACCAGCACTGCAAGAAATGTTAAAAAAAAAAAAAAAAAAAAAAAACTGCTGTAATTAGTAGAAGAAATATAAAGAAAAATAGAACTACACTAAACAAAAATGGCAATAAATAAGTACATATCAATGATCACCTTAAATGTAAATGAATTAAATGCTCCGATAAAAAGACACAGGGTAGATGATTGGATAAGAAAGTATGACTCACATATATGTTGTTTACAAGAGACCCACCTCACAACAAAAGACTCACATAGGTTGAAAGTGAAGGGATAGAAAAAATCTTCCAAGCGAATCGAGGGGAAAAAAAAGGATGGGGTAGCAATACTCATATCTATAAAATAGATTTCAAAATGAAGGCCATAACTGGAGACAAAGAAGGCCACTACATAATACTGAAAGCATCTATCCAACAGGAAGATATGACCTTAATAAACATATATGCACCCAATATAGGAGCACCAACATATATTAAAAATCTTCTGGAGGACTTCAGAGGAGAAATCAACAGCAAAACAATCATAGCATGGGACTTCAACACTCCACTGACATCATTGGATAGATCCTCTGGACAAAAAATTAACAAGGAAACACAGACCCTAAATGAAGCACTAGATCAAATGAATTTAACAGGTATCTATAGAGAATTACACGCCAAAACTACCGAATTCACATTCTTCTCAAGTGCACATGGGACATTCTCAAAGATAGACTACATGATAAGACACAAACTAAATCTCCACAAGTTCAAGAAGATTGAAATCATATCAAGCATCTTCTCAGATCACAATGGCATGCAACTAGAAATCAATTACAACAAGAACATGCAAAGACATTTGAAAAAATGGAGGCTAAATAGCATGTTATTAAACAATGAATGGGTTACCGAGGAGACCAAGGAAGAAATTAAAAACTTCCTGGAAACCAATAACTACAAACACACAACAACACAAAATCTATGGGATGCAGCGAAAGCAGTTCTGAGAGGGAAGTTCATAGCACTACAGGCCTACCTCAAGAAACAAGGAAAGTTTCTAGTAGACTATCTAACCTCACAACTTAAAGAACTAGAAAGCAAACAGAAAGAAAACCCCAGAGCAAGTAGAAGGAAGGAAATAGTAAAGATCAGAGTAGAAATAAATGGCATAGAGACCAAAAAAAACAATTCAAAGGATCAATGAAACAAAGAGCTGGTTTTTCGAAAAGATAAACAAGATTGATGGACCCTTAGCTAGACTCACCAAAAAACAAGGAATCCAAATACACAAAGTAAGAAATGAAAGAGGAGAAGAAACAACTGACACCATAGAAATACAAAAGATTGTTAACAACTACTATGAACAATTAAATGGCAACAAATTTGACAATCTAAGCAAAATGGACAAATTTCTAGAAACACATAGTCTCCCAAAACTGGACCAGAAAGAGATAGAAAACTTGAACACACCTATAACAACTAAGGAAATTGAAGATGTAATCAAGACTCTCCCAGCAAACAAAAGCCCAGGCCCGGATGGCTTCACGGGGGAGTTTTACCGAACATTCAAAGAAGAACTAACACCCATTCTTCTCAAACTATTTCAAAAAGTTCAAGAAGAAGGAAGGATTCCAAACTCGTTTTATGAGGCCAGCATAATTCTAATTCCAAAACCAGAAAAAGACACTACAGAGGAAGAAAACTACAGGCCAATATCCCTGATGAACATAGACGCCAAAATCCTGAACAAAATACTAGGAAATCGAATCCAGCAATACATCAAAAAAAATTACTCATCATGACCAAGAGGGATTTATCCCAGGGATGCAAGACTGGTATAATATTTGCAAATCAATAAATGTGATACACCATATAAATAAAATGAAGAAAAGAAAAAAAAAGAAAACCGGAAAGTAGACAGAAGTTACCGATATCAGGAATGAAACAGGGACTAGCACAGCTGCACTGCAGACATTCAAAGAATAACAAGGAAGTACTATTAACCACTTGACACACCAATATTTGACAACAGAGATGAAATGGACTAATTCCTCAAAACTCACAAACTACCAAAACTTACCAAATATGAACTCAATCATTTATATAGCCCTATAAATATTCAGGTAATTGAATTCATTATTTAAAACACCCTTCCCCAATCTGTAGATCCAGATGGTTTTACCAGAGAATTCTACCAAAATTTAAAGCATTAACACCAATTCCATACAATCTCTTCCAGAAAACAAAAGAGAAGGGACCCGTTTTATGAAACTAGTATGAGTATGACAGCAAAAGCAAAGACAAAAAGCTAACACAATAAGTCTCATGAAGATAGACACAGAAATTGTTAACAAAACATCAGCAAAACAAATCCAGAAAAATGTAAATGGAATTAAACACCAAGTGAGATTTGTTCCAAGTATATAAGGCTGGTTCAACACTTGGAAATTCATCAGTATGCTCTACCCTATCAACACACTATGAAAAATCAGTGATCCAGAAAGAGCATTTATTATTCTCTTCCCTTCCAGCTAAAACCTGCCCATTGATGTTACCTTTCATTGGAAATGCATTTCCTTGTCCCCACTGTTCACCAGGGTCCTGGGTCTTGGTCAGGACTCTCTTAGTTGACATAAAGAGATTTTCTCCAATCTAAATCCTGATTGAGAGGCTTCTTATGCAAACTGGTTTTACTTTCTTAGCTCAGTTTACCAAGACATGAGGAGCTTCTGCTAAATTACTAGATAAAACTGTCTAGTAACATCCTAATTCTTCAACAATGAGACACACATTTGGAAAATAAAAAGGATTATTTAAGTTTAGAGACAGATGATCATTTCCACATTTGAAAAATAAGATAAAAAAAAACAATTTTATACACACTACTAGAAATTTTAAACTTGTACATTTAAAAGACCAAATTTAAAACTCAACACAGTACATATTAACACTAATGATTGTTAGAAGATTCAGTCCAGTTCCTCTGCACTTGGACTAAAAAAGCATTCACTCTGAATTCAAATTAATTTTGCAGTGCTAATTATATATATATATTTTTTTTTAATCCGCACCAGAGGATACTTTTCCATTTCTCATCAGAGTGGGAGGGAGGAAGAGAGAAAGAGAAATATTGATGCAAGAGAGACACATTGACTGGTTGCCCCCCACATGACCCAACCAGGGTAAGTGCCCTTGACCAGAATCAAACCCGCAACTCATTGGTCTGAGGGCTGATGCTTTAACCACTCAGCCAAAGCAGCCAGGGCCAATACTAATTATATTTTATATGATTGAGGAAAAATATTTTTTTGCACTCTCACTGAGCTAAATCTGTTTCAGATAAACAAAACAATCTGAGTGCCAGGCATGTCAATTATAAGATTACACAAGAAGTACAGGGCCCAGACTCTTGATCAACCAGTGACCTATGTTCTCTTGGACTTTCCACAGTGAACGTTGCAACCAGAATCTTTTTCAATATACTCATTTGTGGCAAGAAAAATACAAAGAAAGTCATCATGAATACTACAGGGAAAGTAAGTACAGTTTTCTTTATGTCTTCTCATGATTTTATCAGTTTGTGTGCTTGTCTATGTCTTCTCATGTTTTTATCAGTTTGTGTGCTTGTCTCATTACCCAATTAGTCTCTGTACTGTTAAAGGTGAAGACTGTCTTAATCTTAGTTCCTCTCCCCTTTTCCCTTTTACTCTCTTTATGTGTTTTAGCTTTCCTTTATGTTTTCATTTCTTTCATGTGCAGTATATCAAGCCCTATATCAAACTTTCCAGAGTTGAAGAAACATCCTCTCCTTCAAAGATCTCACAGAGGGACAGAGTAATTATATAAGAGTGTGCAAGGGTTTCCTATACCAACACCCTGGAGAGAGAACTTGCTGCTGGTGCCCCCCACCCACTTCCAGAATAACGAAGTCAGTATGTTTGGGGATAAGGCCCACTAATTTGCATTTCTGACAAATATGCAAATATTGACACTGCGGGTCTGGGACCATACTTACAGTACCACTGCCTTACAATAATGCCCCGCTTTGTTAAACCAGCAGGGTATAAAACTCATCCTCTAAAAATAAACTGCCTTATACTACTAAAAAAGAGAGAGTGGGCAAGGGTAGTAAAAGAGAGAGAGGAAATTCTCCTAACCTGGCTAGGCTTCCCAGAGAAGGGGACACCTAGCCTGAAGGAAAAACATAGGAATAAGAAAAATATCTCATATGAGAATCTCCGGAATATTTTTTGTGCCAGGAAGGTAAAGTCAAAGGCAAGTTATGACAAGAAATAAGCCTGTAGTGATGGGTAGGAAGAAGATCACAAAGATCGTGTCAACAGAACCCGATAAACAATTGGCACCCGTATCATTTTTAGATAGGGGATTAGCATGATCAGGGTTACAGTTTGGATGGCAATGATATAGAGAATGGATGAACCCAAGCCAGGTAAAAGGTGAGGTAAAGACTGAACCACACAGTAGAGGCAGGAATGGAGAGGAGGCAACAGATTCCAAAAAGTTTTAGCTTATAGAGGTGAAGAGATAAAAATTAAGGCTACTTCCCACATTCCTTTCTTGGGTGAGTAAATAGATTATATGGCTACTCATTGGAATAGAGAAGGCAGAGGGAGGGGCAGATCGTATGTAATGTCCACCACTGACAGGAAGAGGTGGGGACAGGAGAAAGAAATAATGATGTGTCCATGTTGAGTTTAAGATACCTGAGGACATTCAAATAGCAGAAGAATAAATGAGTCTAAAGCTTAGAGACAAGTCTGTACATAGATAAAAATTGTCAAACTCATCTACATAAAGGTGGTGGTGAAATCTATAAAAATAGGTGAGATCACATAGGAAGGGGATTTATAGTGAGAACAGTGATGGGGTGAAATCAGAACCCCTAAGAACTAACTGTTGTAACCCAGGAGAGTCATCCTCACTCAGACATCAAGTAATTTTGACTATTAGGAGCTTTATTACCTGCGCAGGGACTGCAGCCAACCTACACAGAGGAGAACTGCAGCCCCGAGCTCAGGGGGAGGGTTGCTTATATAGGACAGGGGTTACTCAAGAGTTTAGCAGAGCAAGCAAGCTACGTGTACAGAAGCAGATATCAGCTGTTAGTAACTGTACAAGTTGTTTGTTTTATATTTCTTAACATTTACTAAACTCTAGCCTTGAATGCCTCATCGTCCCGTCTGGCATCTCCTGATTAGTTAAGCTCATGGTCATGGCTGATCCATCTCTTCCAGAATTTTTGCAAAAACATCTTGGGCTCAAGGAACCCGGGAGAGATTCCTTCTTCTAGCAGATGGAGAATTACTGGGTTATAACACTAACTACCTTGCTACCAACAACCTCTCCAACCTCAACCTGCCCATGACCTGTACCATTTGATGAATGGCCGCAACTAGATGTTCTCCATTCCCTGCTCTATAACATACCCCTCCGCCCCAAAACTGATTCTAGGATCACATACCTAGGATCACAAATAACTCCCATACTGCAATACCATTCCAATCTTGAAACAGCCACTGGACAACTTCATTCGTGGTAAGATCAAAAATATGACATCTATGTTCTTGATTGCACGGCATTATGCAAAAATAATTCGAATAAAGAGATGATAGTACAAGAAGTTGGACTGGGGTTCAAGAAGCTAAACACAGCCCTGGCCGGTTTGGCTCAGCGGTTAGAGCGTCGGCCTGTGGTCCGGAGAGACCCGGGTTCGGTTCCCGCTAAGGGCATGTACCTCGATTGCAGTTTGTCCCCGGCCCTGGTTGGTCGTGTGGGTGGCAACCACTCGACGTGTCCCTTTCACGTCGATGTTTCTCTCTCTCTCTTCCTCTCTCTCCCTCCCACTCTGTCTGAACAAAAAATGGAAAAATGTCCTCAGATGAGGATAAAAAGAAAAGAAGCTAAACACAGACGATATCTAAGCAATGACTTTTTTTGCTTGCATATGGAAGAACTGGACTAATATTATTAGTAATATAATAATCTAATAATCATTGCTATAGGAATCCATCTCCCAAGACTAAAGAGTTTCCTTTCTGCCCATATTCCCTTTCCAGGTTATCAAGTGCAGAGCAGCCGTACTCTGGAAGGCTGGGGAACCATTTTCCATTGAGGAGATAGAAGTGGCCCCCCCAAAAGCAAAGGAAGTTCGCATAAAGGTAAAAAAAAAAAAGTATTTCCACACCCAAAATCAGACCTGTTCACTCTAAGTTATACATTTTTTTCACAATTAAATTCAGAAAGAAAACTACCATTCTCTTCTATTTCTTTTTCATTAAACATTTCCATCTGCCCTTAAATACAGCCAGAGAAAAGGTTAGAGAAGTGTGGCATCGGCTAAATGCCCACAGGAGATTTATTCACAGCTGTAGGACTGAATACTGATTCAAAGAAGTTTCTACCCCTGGGCTATATTTTAATCTGTAAAATTTATTCATGACATTTTTCATGTATTTAAGTTATTTTGTTTTTTGTTTGTTTGTTTGTTTTATCCTCACCCGAGGACATTTTTCCACCTTTTGTTCAGATATAGTGGAAGGGAGAAAGAAAGAGAGAAACATCAATGTGAAAGGGACACATCAAGTGGTTGCCACCCACAGGACCCAGCCAGGGCCGGGGACAAACTGCAACTGAGGTACGTGCCCTTAGCGGGAACCGAACCCGGGTCTCCCTGGACCGCAGGCCGACGCTCTAACCGCTGAGCCAAACCGGCCAGGGCTATTTAAGTTATTTTGAAATGTGATGTGTGAATAATGTATTTGATTACAGATAAATCAAGTCTAAATCCTAGAAAGTCAGGTTAGAAATACCTGGTATTTTACAGGTGAGAAGATTTAACTCCACTGAGGTGTAATGACTGTGGTCACACAGCTAAGTGGAGTGAGAACACAGACGTCAACAATTTTCCTCAATCTTGGTTACACATTTGGAAGCACCTGGGAGTTTGGAAAAATGCTGATAACTGAGTCCCACCCCCAGACATTCAGAATTTGTGATTTGATTGATCTTGGGTGCAGTATGGTCATGAGAGTCTAAATCTCCCCCAGGTGGTGCTAACAGGGGGCCACCAGACCAGAACATTGTTCACCTGACTTCATTGTTATTATTTAATTTTAATAATGATGAATAAGTACTCTTTGTAATGGATGACAAAGAGAGTACCATTTTCTACATTACCTGTGCAATCCATGGCCTCTTCTCAGAGTCTTCTCAACAGGCCATGTGGCCGTCCCCATTCACTCCTACCCCCAGGGTCACCACTCACGCAGCCAGATTTAGACCCTGACTCAAAGGTATACAACTATTATCTGACAAGCTACAAACAGGACTCTCTCACCCATGAATTTGAACAAGAACAGAGACTGAGTAAAGCAGGCGATGGTGGGCACTGGAGAGGCTGGAAGGACTCAGAGCTGGTAGCATTTTCAACCATAAGATGATGAGAAATAAGAAAAAGCCTGTCTTCAGACAATAGTAGGAAAATTCTGCTCTATGCACACATTGAATCAGAGTACAGAGATGAAGACGAAATCTGCTTGATGGCTGTCTAGGTCCATGAGGCCTGACTGCACTTCTACAGTTGTGTTGTAAGCACCTTTACAGTGTTCTTCCAACAATCCCCCTTTCACACGAGTGAATTTCAACAGATTTCAATGCTGGGGACAGGGCGGGGAGGGAGGGGAAGGGGGGAATCTGGGGGGGGGGGGAACATCTGTAACAAAAATTAATTAATTAATTTTTAAAAAGAAACATTTTCCACTCTAAAAAAAAAAAGAAAAAGAAAAATATTGATGCCTTTAAACAAATTATTGACACTTATCTAGAAATAAAACTAATTAAGAATGCATTAATATTAATGCAGCATACCAAACTAACAAAAAGATTTAAAGCATGAACAATTCTAAAATACCTTTATCTGAGACAGAACACTATACTACTCTTTGCCTTCCCTACAGATCATGGCCACAGGGCTCTGTGGCACAGAGATGAAAATGTTGGAGAATCAGTTTCAGTATCCCGTCATCATGGGCCACGAAGGGGCTGGGATAGTCGAGAGTGTGGGAGAAGGAGTGAGCACCGTGAGAGCAGGTATGAACTGGCACCTGGAGTTAGGAAATAGCAGCAACTTGGAACCTACATTAGGAAAATACAAGATCAAGTGAAATAAAAGGTGAAATGTTGCACATGTCTTAAAAAGGAATAACTGTAAGTTACACAAAAATACGCAGTGTGTTACATTCTTTGCATTAACTTACATGCATGGATGCATGACCAATGAACATAGACAACAAAGCTGGGGATGAGGCCCTGGGGAAGGGGAGGAGGGTATCAGTGGGGGAAAAATGAGAAACATCTGTAACAAAAACAAATTAATAAATAAATAAATATAAAAAAAAGAATACAAAATAGAGTTCACTGAAATAGAACCTGAAAGTATAAATGAGACAAAAATTTACAAAAAGAGGTAAACTGTTGAACAATGTATTTAAATGAAGCATATGATAGTCAAAAATGTTACAGCAACCAAATAGAGAAGGAACCCAGAACTGGATCAAATATATATAGGAATTAAGTGCAGGATTAGGTTTGCCTTTCACATTTGAGTAGGAAAACATGATTGTTCAATAAATGACATTGAAACAACTTGATAGTCATCTGAGGGGAAAAAGAGTTTAGTTGCTATTGCATTCTTTATATTAAAAAAATAATGCTCTATGAATCCAAAAATTAAATGTGAAAAGTGAAACCACAGAAGTGCTATAAAAACCATAACAGAAGAGTGCATTACTTCAGAGAAGAGAAGAAAATTGTAATCAATTAAAAAAAAAAAAACAGATGTAAAGAATATATCAATTTAACAACATAAAAACTTTTAAAATTCTGTTTATAAAAAATACCCTCCCAGCCCTGGCCAGGTGGTTCAGCCGGTTGGAACATCATCCTGTACACCAAAAAGTTGTGGATTTAATTCCCGGTCAGAGCACATATCTAGGTTGTGGGTTCGATTCCCAGTCTGGGCAAGTACAGGAGGCAACCAATTGATGTTTTTCTTACACATCGATGTTTCTCTCTCTCTCTCTCTCTCTCTCTCTCTCTCTCTCTGTATCTCTATCTCTATCTCTCTTCCTCTCTCTCTAAAAATCAATAAAAACATATCTTTAGGTGAGAATTTACAAAAAGAAATACCTTCCCCCAAATCAACAAACAAATAAGAAAATGAGAAAATGGGCAAATTTCCTTAATATATAAAGAATTATTTAAAAGCAATAAAAAAATAAATGAAATAAACAGCCCAGTAGAATAATGGGAAAAGAAAATCTATATTGGGGGGAGAAAAAAATACATATATATACACATACAAATGCTTTTGTAAAAAGGTGCCCAACCTCAAACATATTAAATAAATAAAAATTTTAAATGCATTGGTAAAACACTGTTTACATAACAAATTAGAAAAGATTTTAAAGTTTGATAATATATAAGGCTGACAAGAGTGTAGGCAACGAACTCCTTCATACTTTATTATTTGAAAAGTAAACAACTTTAAATTTGGCAATGTGGAACATCATTTATATGCACCTATTTTGGACCCATACCTTCAATCTAGAAAATTGTTCCATAGATACAGTATACCCATATTTTAGCTTTTTATTGCTGATGAAAACAAAAATCACTGCAGAGTTAGCAGCTTAAAACAAATTTATTATCTCAGTTTCTGTACATGAAAAGTCTGGGTGGTCTGACTGGGTTCTCTGCATGGGGTCTCACAAGGTCAAAATCAAAGTGTTGGCCAGCTGGGTTCTTATCTGAAGATTCTGGAGAATCTAATTCCTTGAGGTTGTAGGACTGACTGGCTGTCAGCTGGAGCTGCTCTCAGCTCCTTGAAGCTACTCACATTCCTTCCTGTGTGGCTCCTTCACCCCTTCCAGACTCAAAGCAACAATGCACATCAGATCCTTCCCATGCTTTGAATTGTTTTGTCTTTCTCTTCTGCTTTCCTCTCGTCCCCTTTCAAGAGCTCATGTGATTTCCTTGGGTCTGCCTTAACAATCCAGGATACTCCCTATTTTGATGTCAATTGATTAGTAACCTTAATTACATCTGAAAAGCCCCTCTTTCCATGTAACATATTCACAGGCATGGTAACAACATATTCAGTTTCTGGGGATTAGGACTAGGCATCTTTGGGGGGCCATTTTAGAAATTCTGCCTACCATCGCCCATGTGTGCACAAAATATTCACTGCATTGTTATTTATCATGTCAGAAAGAAAATATATATTTTTTAGAAGACAGGAAATAATCAAAATATCTGTCAATGTCCAGGGGACCAGTCAAATAAATTATGATATATCTATACAATAGAATACTATGTAACTATTAAACAAAATGATAGAGTTCTATATGTACTAAAATGAGAAATCTCCAAGATATATTGTTAAGTTAAAAACCAAGGGTAGCCCTGGCCGGTTTGGCCCAGCTGTTAGAGCATCGGCCTGTGATCCAGAGACACCCAGCTTCGGTTCCTGCTAAGCGCACTTACCTCGGTTGCAGTTTGTCCCTGGCCCTGGTTGGGTCATGCGGGTGGCAGCCACTCAATGTGTACCTTTCATGTCGATGTTTTTCTCTCTCTCTCTCTTCTTCTCTCTCCCTCCTGCTCTATCTGAACAAAAAAATTTAAAAAAATGTCCTTGGGTGAGGATAAAAAAAAAAACAAGGGTAAATAGTATGCTAGCCATTGTATTTTTAAAGGTGTTATATCTCTGAAAGATACCATGGACCCTGAGAAGAATAATTGTCCCCGTGAGGTGGGGGGATAGAGACTAGAGGCTAATCTTCACGTTTGTACAGTTTAAGTTCTTACCATATGTCTGTGTTACTATTTAAAAACCAAAAATAAAGAAAACAAAAAGAACCTAAGTCCTACAAAATTTTAAACTAAGAATATGAAATAAATTGCTCTAGTTTACAGTGATAGACAATGGGGTGGTCAGAACGTCCGCCACAGGCAAGTTATTCTAATCTTCTCCTTGTACATTGACTATTACTAGAGAATATACCTACCTTTGGTCTCCATGGCCAAGGAGAAAACAGATGTGAAATACACAGGACGACACACAGACAATCATTTCTCCCTAATCCAGAAGCTTATGTTGTGAGCATGTGACATCCATGTTATTTTAAATCTAATTCCTGATAGCAGAAGGTAGTGTGGAAAAATGAAAGATAAGATTTGGCTTAATGGCTATGTGATTAAAGCATCTACAGTTTCAAAAGAAACTTACAAGGAGGCAAATCTGGGGCCAGCTCCTTTGGATTCAGCAGCCAAGCTCAGGGCTAGACCCACAGGTCAAAGACATTCTCTCTTTTGGTACATGTTTCATATCAACACAGTTAAATGTGGAAATGACTCTCAGTAATAATATTTTCTTGAGTACCTTGCCATTTAGGTCTTGAGAAACAGCTCTCTCTTTACTTTCAAAGATAACATTTTATTAAATGACTTTGTTTTCTTAGGTGATAAAGTTATCACACTGTTTCTACCACAGTGTGGAGAGTGTGCCTCTTGCCTTAATTCTGAAGACAATTATTGTGTACAACTCAAGTAAGTTTTTACTCATATCTTCTTTTTGAAAAATTAATTCAATGTCTTTGAAGAAATCAAAGCTTTCTAATTCTAAATATAAAATTGTTTGTTTTTTGGTCTATAAAAGACAGTCATATACCGGCCTGATGCCTGATGGTACCAGTAGGTTTACCTACAAGGGAAAACCAATATATCAGTTTGCAAATGCAAGCACCTTCTCTGAATACACAGTGATAAGAGAAATCTCAGTTGCCAAGATTGATGCAGGTGCTCCTCTGGAGAAAGTATGCCTCATTAGCTGTGGGTTTTCCACTGGGTATGGTGCTGCAATCAACACTGCCAAGGTGAGAAGCATTTATACTCATTATAAATGGAATTCTTGGTATATGGTGTTGAAAGTCCTCATGCATCTGGGCCATGATCATACAACCTGAGGAAGAATCACAAGCCTGCCTCTAAACATCCTGAGTTCTTTACTATCTGTCTAGTCAACCCATACCCTCCTCTTCAACATCTTGCCCATTCCCTCTTAGTCATTAGTAAATGACAAATTGGGTCTGGACTCCATTTGCAAGTGGAGACATCAGGAATTCCTGGGAGTTAAACACAACACAAACACAACACAAAATGACGATGTGTCCTTCCATATTCCAGTTCATTCTTTTTTTTTCCATTCAACAAACATTTATGGAGTCATTCAGTATTCTGGGTGAGGGATTCAGCAGCTAATGAAACTCACTGAGCTTCTATTCTGTTGTATAATGCATCGGGTGGTGCTCATAAAAGGAAAGGAAAGTAGAAAGACCAACTGACGAAAGGGGTGTTGCTATATAAAACAGATTGGTCAAGTAACCCCACTCTGATCAAATGAATCGCTGTTATTCTTCTTATTATTATTATTATTGGAACATCACCCAATTCTGCACAACTCTATTCTTTAACTGGCTGTTGAATTTTAGTTCTTTATTTTTCCCAATTTCCATTAGTCCCTATACTATACAGAGAGATAGCATGAATCGGATTCAGTTGTCATTAGTCTCATTTGGAATCCAATAAAAAATAACCCTTTGCCTTCATAAGGCATTGACATTGTAAGTAATGTAAAGTTTACAGATATTCACAAGAAAAGAAAAATAAAGAGTTGGAGGAAGATGGGCATGGTTTTAAAGAACTCACAAATATCTGAAATTAAATAAATACTGTGCCCTGATCAGTTTTGCTCAACAGTTAGAGCATCGGCCCTCAGATCAAATGGTCGCGGGTTCAATTCCAGGTCAAGGGCACATACCTGGGTTGCAAGTTCAATCCCCAGCCCTGGTCAGGGTTGTGAGAGAGGCAACCAATCGATGTGTCTCTCTCACATGGATGTCTCTCTCTCTCTCTCTCTCTCTCTCTCTCTCTCTCTCTCTCTCTTGCTTCTATGCTATTTAAAAATTGATGGAAAAACACCCTAGGGTGAGGATTAACAAAAATAAATAAAAGTAAATAAATACTGTGACAAGTCTTCAGATTCAATGAAAGTTCATTAAACTGCTTCTACTCATGCTAATTTCTGTATAATATAGAGAGTTGAAACTTTCTATATGCAGGTAATTGTTTTTTGCTCCTCTGGCAAAAATTATCCCATATTGAGAAACTATGGTTAAAATCTGTTTTATTTGGAAATATCCTTCACCTATGTCTCAAAAAAGTATATACAGACTTGGTCTTTCCAACTGTGTAAAAGTACATGTTCTCTTTCCTTCTGTTTTATGCTTTCGTGTGCTCAGGTGACGCCAGGCTCCACCTGTGCAGTGTTTGGCCTCGGAGGAGTCGGCCTGTCTGTTGTCATGGGCTGTAAAGCGGCCGGAGCAGCCAGGATCATCGGGGTGGACATCAACAAAGACAAATTTGAGAAGGCAAAGGAATTGGGTGCCACTGAGTGCATCAGCCCACAGGACTTCAAGAAACCCATCCAAAAAGTTTTAGTTGAAATGACAGGTGCGGGTGTGGAGTTTTGCTTTGAGGTCATTGGAAACCCAGAAATGGTGGTACGTGATCCTCTGAAGTGAAAATTACCAATATTTCTTCCAATCATCACTGTAGATTTTCCTTGAATGAAAATTCTAAAATTTCCTCTACACTCTTCTATTTAATTTTCCTGTGCCCATGACATCCCACCTGATACCTTCTGTCCACTCCTAAAAATCTGTTCATTACCCCCAGATACTGAGTTTTCTCCTCCCTCTGTTCCATCATTCCATTCCTTCAAATAAGCAGCTTCCAATAGGCAGGACAAAAAGACTTTGTAAAGAATTTTCACTCGATTATTTCATAACAAGCAGAAGCCTAATAACTTCATTTCTAAGCCAGAAGATGTAGGTAGGATAAGGACAATATCCGATTAATAATCCCATAAAGCAATGAGCTTCACACTTTCAGCAAATTCTTTCAGGTTGGATCTGAGATAAGCTTCCAAGGAAAATATTTACCAATCTTGCTTAAATAGGGTCATTTCAAAATAAAGAAAACAGGTGATGTTTTTCTGACTAACCATTGTTATATAAAAGAATCTGAATGGAGAAGAAGTTATTTCACAATGTGAGACTTGCTACCCTGGGGGATTTGTAGAAACAATGTACTATTGTGTTGCATGGCTCCATCTTCTAGTCACCGGAATGGAAACCCAAGAAATGTCTCTTCCATCCTAGGTCCTTTCTTTAGCTTCCAAAGTCTTTTCACTCTTCACTACACATAAATTTTCTCCTCTGTTAAAAAATATAGGCAACCTTTCTCACAGTCTTTCCCACAGACAGTCTGGCTCTGAGAAATAGCCTTTAAAAATAACTAATGGGCCCTGGCCGGTTTGGCTCAGCGGTTAGAGCGTCGGCCTGCGGTCCTGAGAGACCTGGGTTCGGTTCCCGCTAAGGGCGCATACCTCGGTTGCTGTTTGTCCCCGGCCCTGGTCGGTCGTGTGGGTGGCAGCCACTCGATGAGTCCCTTCCACGCCCATGTTTCTCTCTCTCCTTCTCTCTCCCTCCCACTCTATCTGAACAAAAAAAGGAAAAATGTCCTCAGGTGAGAATAAAAAAAATAATAATAAAAAAAAAATAACTAATGGGAACATTAGTGGATTGCTTTGTTAATACATGATGCTATACAAATATCCAATTGTACTCTCAGATGTCTAAAACAAATGTTAACTCTAACCATCAGTATCAGTAATGGTTCCTGTACAAATTAGTAGTAGTACCAGCAGCAGCTGTAGTAGCGGTGATAGTATTATTACTCCCATGGGTGCTATTAGTATTTCCATTTTTAAATTTCCATCTGTTGAATCTAAAATGCCAGATACCATGTATACTTGGCAGCACACAATGTCTTGCTTACGTTTCAGCATATCGTTATAAATTGTTATTTCAAATGAGGACAGAGAGAACCAGAAAAGAAGGTCACAGACCAGACTGTTGAGCCATCAAACTGGGATTGAGACATAAATCCCTACCTCTGACTCTGAAGTATATCATTTAACCCCTGCATTGTCTTTCATTGCTTTACAAAGGCAGCTGCCCTGGCTTCCTGCCACGAGAGCCATGGGGTCTGCGTGATTGTTGGGCTCTTGGGTCATGGTGTCCAGCTCAGCATCGATGGCCTCTTGTTCTTCTCAGGACGTTGTTTGAAGGGATCTGTTTTTGGAGGTATGGATGAAGCAGGGAAGAGTGGGGATTTGTAGGGGTATGAAAGTGGGATACTAGAGAAATGTATTATAAATACTTGAGAAGGCACATAAAACAGGAGCTTTAGACTACAGTTTTTGTTTCAACACATAAATATCCAAAATAAGGGGATGGGTACTGGATGTCTACAGTTGCTTCTTGGTAAGCTTTTTCTCATGCAGAGACAGGGAAGAGACTTTAAAAAATTGATTGGTGAGGAAACAACTGTTCAAAGTTTAATGCAAATTCTAAATTGAAAAAGGAAGGCAATTTTGCAATTAATAAGTATACTTCAATTGAGCTATATACCTGCCAACTGGGGTTCTTTGGAAGATATATTGAACCATTTGTAGTCATTGTTCAGTAACGTTAATATTATCTGAAACAACTGAGTTGTCATTATACCAACTCAAAGACATTAAACATAATGGATTCATGATTGAAAAGAAATACTACTGATAAAAAGCAAATGAGATTTATTTTTTTTGCAAGAAAAAAATCATAAAATAGTTTGATTTTCCATTTTTAAAATTTGTGTTAGAAATGTTACACACTTTAGAAGTCTTTTATGAAAAGTATAAAGAAGGTAAATTAAATAAATATTCTTAGAGTCCTGGGCTTATAAGCAAGTAATCTGATATTTAAGAAGAAATGTATTTATTTAGCCAGAGATTTTAGGCAAACTGAATTCTTGGGCAAAAGAGATGAGAATTAGGAGCTATCTGCATTATTTGGACTAGTGAGCTAGCTGTGGTTTCCAAATTAGCTGTGGTGGTGTATTCTTATGGGTGTTAGAAGTCTTACCCTATCCATTTACAAAAAAGTAGATAAATGACAAAGCCAGGGAAAAAAGTAAGAATCCAGTTTCAACTGTGATTGTCAGTTCCTCTATCTGGGATAATTGGGCATACCCATTGTTGTTTCCCTCTATTGTGTTTAGACCATAACTGTTGATTCCAAATACATATACTCAGCTAACTCTTGTAAAATAATATCACCAATATTTTAAGTAATCCTCATAAACTATGTCACCCACCACTTAAACATTCGTATAATGATCATTACATTAATTCCTTTCTCTGGTTCAGTAGTTTTTAATTAAGGGTAGCGTGTCATGGGTGTTGAAGAGGCCTGCTAAACTTCCTACAATGTACACAGTGAAGAATTTCCCCACCAAAATGTTAAGAAACACTGCCTAGCCTAGTCTGTGCTCCTGGAGCCTTCTTAGATTATTTGGTTGAAAGAAGAAACAAAAAACAAGTGAAAGTGTTCCTTGAATAGATATGAAAATGCTTTATCAGATCACCAATCAAAAAATAAAAACACAGACAGTAGATCTTAAAGTTGTCACCACAAGAAAAAAGAAATTGTTCCTATGTGTCATGATGAATGTTAACTAACCTTAGTTTAATAGTAATTATTTCACAATATACACATACATCAAATAATTGTGGTGTACACTGAAAACTAATACAATGTTATATGTCAATGATATCTCAGTTTTTGAAAAAATAGAAAAATACACCATCCCTTCATGTCATGACATACATCGCATTAGAATTCTTGAGTACATATAACAGAAACCAACTTAGATGCAAAATATATCCATTAGAATAGTTTTAGGTAATTTGAGAATAACTGGGAAGACTAGAGAACGTGGCAAGTAACTGCCAAGATCCTGTCGCAGAACATGCTACCAGGACACTGGCCGCCTTGCACAATTACATCACACTCACCCTTCCCAGAAACAACAGGCCACCACTTCTGGGTGGTGGCTTGCACAACCCTAAATGTAAAAATGGCATTTCTGAAAAATTATGAAAACAGGGAAAATGCAATGCTGTTTCTGTTCCCCTGGTGGACCCCATTTTTCCCTGTGCAAGTCTTACTTCCAGAAGGTACATTTCATTCTTATCTTGATTTGTACACATTCTTTTTTCCAAAAGCTGTCACTGAGATCACTACCATGGTGAAAATGCTTCTCTTCCCTTAAGATATTTGGCTCTTTCATGGAACTGCAGATCAACACACACACACACACACACACACACACACACACACACACACAGAATGTCCTGTTTCTAACCTTTGAATTGCTTCTGTTCATGGTTCCCAAGACTTTGGCCTTTGTTATACATTAGATGTGGATTTACGGCTCCCCAGACAGTGCAACCTGACACAAAGAACATCTAAGACAAGGTCCACAGCCCAGTTGCTTTAAGTAAATTCTCTTTTATACCAGAGTTCTCCGGACTTTCAGAAGAGCAGCCTTTGATACAGGGTATATGGTTGAGACAGGCAATCTCCTGAGGACTGAGACAAGTTTGTGGGGAAATCCTTAGATTTCCTCAGTCAAAGCCAACCCCTCCAGTAGTTACCCTGCATGGCCCATCCTGTAGAGTGAGTCTCACAAATAAAATCTGTTGTTGATCTGTCCTACTTCCAGGCTGGAAAAGCAGAGAGAACGTCTCCAAACTGGTTTCCGATTATATGGCAAAGAAGTTTAATCTAGATCCTCTAATTACCCATACTCTGAATCTTGATAAAATCAATGAAGCAGTTGAACTCATGAAAACCGGAAAATGGTAAGTTCCTCCAGTAATGTTTACGTCTCGGTGTCTGGGGCGGAGGGAAGGGGTGTTTGTGAGTCCGGGCAGACGGGAAGGGGAGTCATGGCCACATGCAGACAACTGAAGAAGTTTTCAGGAATTTGTAAAGCACCTCTTCTCCTCTTTATTTTAGTCCAAGTTTATTAAAAAATGTTATCCTGAAAATATTTAAATGCTCATCTACCCTTTCGATTCGCATTTTATTTCCAATTGGGCATTTTTATATGACACATTAACTAATGAGGTTAGCTCATAAAATTTTAGCTCAAGTTTAAGTTTATAGTTTATAAAGAGGCCATCGTGGTCATTCTATTTCAAAGAGGCAAATTATCTCTAGAATTCCAAATTCTGACACGTCTTTGGCCCACGAACCGCCCACCAGCCATAAACTGGGCCCTGGCCTTCCTCAGGCGGGCACAGGCCTGTGTTCCTCGCCCCTGGAGCTGTGTGTCATTTTGAAAAATCTTGTCACAGATTTAATCTCCCCATTTTTCACATAAGAAAATCTCACTCACTTACTGGTCTACAGCGTAAAAATTTGGAATCCAAAACACAAATGTTGCTTTGGAAATGTTTCTATTTATTTTCTTTTTTTTTTTTCTTTTTTTTTTAGCATCCGCTGCGTCCTGTTCCTTTAAGTAAAACGAAGTGAACGCAAGATCTGCAGCACAGTCCACCAAACTAACTGCATTCTGTGTAATTTCCATGACTCAGAAGAATTTTCCATACAGTGTAGTTTCTATTCTCTTGCCTTTGATTCATTCAGTAGTGGGCTCAGATCTGACTTCTGCTCTTACCACCTCATCAAAATTGGTCTTATATGACCCAGTCTCACCAGAAACATCTTCCCTGTTAGAGCTAGATGAAAGCTGATTTGAGTCATTCAAGTCCAAACTTTTCAAACAGTCACCCCAAGATACTCCAGTTTTCATCATTGTCTTTCTCTCTGGGCCCATAATTTTTTGCACACGCTGTCTCTCACCCCCAAGAAGTGCTGCTCATTTCACACCAAAGAAACAAAGCTCACCATTCATGAGTTTATTGACCATTCAGGCTGAAGCAAGTTGATGAGGAAGGGGGGTTATTCCATCAACTTAAATAAATCCCAGTTAAACATTAAGTACTTTATTCCAAACATCACTCACCCTAGAGAAACGTCACTAGGCCTTCCTCTTATATAACCCGGCCTCAAACCGCCACTTACTATGTTTCTATGGCACTCACCTCTTCTCTCACAGATTGCCAAAGGAACTTCAAGTTCTTCTTTCACTGGCCAGGACAATTTAGCTCTCAGCAGTTCATATTACCTGGCTCCATAACCAAACCGTTTAGAATTCAGCAGAAAGAAAAAAGGGCTTGAGAGGATCATATTAATTACCAAGCTCCACGCTCTCGAGGATGCAGCTGTGGTATCACACAAAACTCCAAGGAAAGAGGGGAGGGTTGTGTAGTTCTCCACTAATGTGTGTCCTGGATTCTTTCCTCCAAGAAACGGAGGAGAGAAAGACAACATCCAGTAGTTGTTTGTGGCATCCAATCCCTCTCTACCCAGGCCCCCACCTCTCTGCCCTAATCCTTAATTCTCCTAGAATCTGGGTTAAGATTGAGCCCTCTTGGTATATGACTTCTTCCCTCTTCCCTAGACACAGAGTCTCTTTCTAACTCTCTCTCCCAATACACACACCAGGAGCTCCCTTCCTAGTTTACGTCTCTTTTGCTCCAGCCAGGGTTCCCCTAGATCTGGAGCTACTGAATCAGACAGGGGTCCCATGGGCCACAGATCTTGGCAGACCTTGAGAGACCAGGAAATAGGAGGTGATATATTTACCTGAGTCCAGTAGTTTCATGATTTAAGATCAGCCAGAAAACTGAGCTACATCCCCAGCCTCTCTCTGCCATCATGACAACCACATGTGTCAGAGGGCTCTCATGAGACTCTGATTCCCAAATTGAGAGGAAGTATCATGAGGTGAGCATCCTGTCTTCCCTTCAGGGTGTCTGCCTCCTACAAAAAGAGGAGATAGATGCCATTGAACATATTCTTTCTCTTCCAAACTGCACCCCCAGTGGGAGCAGCAGCGCCCCCTCAAGGGGGTTCCACCAGTAGCCTTCAGCAGAACATGTCAAGTCCTGATAGATAAGCATGCAAGGAAAAAATGATTAACTTAAATGCCAATTCACAATTTGTTTTTGCACCTGACATGTAGTTTACTCTCAACATTTGGTACAAACACAGTTGTCCTTAGTGCCTTTCCCCCTCAAACCTAGAAATAGAAAATGGCTTGTATATTGGTTTTATTCAACCTGCTGTCTTCATCAGAATCAGAGAAGGGGCAGGGGTCTGCCCCTGCTGGCCGCCTCCTCGTCAATCATCATAAAGAGCACTTGGACAGACAGAGGGCTCAGGGCAGAGCACACCCTCTCGGGGACGCTCTGCCAACAAGGAAGCAGCACTCCTCCTCCATCTTCCCAAGTCTGAGCTGCATTGCCCATGTCCGACTCTGCTCTTCTGTTCCCTGAGGGCGGCCGAGGCATGCTCCTGTTCTGCCTTGAGAATTAACCTTACTCACAGGGAGAACTTGGAGAAGCCTTCAGGTCTTGGGAGGTCTGAGTTTGCCCCAAAATGTTTGCTGTAAACAGCACCTACCTTCTGCTCCAATAAAACGCAGTTCTTTAAGCAACTTTTAATGTCTCTTTATGTTGTAGTTCATTGCAAAACTCTCTCTAATCTGATCACAAATGCAGACTTTTTCTCCTTTCTGTGATACACAGCCAAAAATATTACACGAGTACCAGTGACCACCCACATCACTGTATGCCCATCCACTGCTGTTGCTGGTCACAGTTAAGTGTCCTGTTCCAACCACAAACTAAAATCCCTTTTTCCATTCCCGGGCACTGCACTTCCCTGGACAGGGCTCACCTGAGCCCCAGACCCACAGTAGGAGCCCTGCGTCCAGGGAGGACAAGAGCCCACATCTCTTGCCTGCATAATGAGAAACTTTAAGTATTTTCAGATTTTTACCTGAAGACAAGAATAATTACATTCAGGGCTATCACTCAAACAGTAATACATCAAAATGTGCCCATGCAATGTAGAAGCCATCTATGGGCACGTGGCATGCATCCAGGTGCCTGGTTATAGCATTATTGACAGTTACCATTTACAGCGGTGCAGGTGAGAAAGGCCAGTGCCTCAAACTAGATTGGCAGTAGCAGAAATGAATAGAAGTGGACAGATTTGTGAGATATATAGGAAATAAAATCCACAGGAGTTGGAGAATGTCCACCATTTTCCAAAGGTCAGTTCATTCTGGCTTTATAGAGCAAGGAGCTAGGGAAACTTTAGAAATTGCCTAGGGAGCCCATGGCAAAGTCTTACTCTCAACAGGAATGCCCTGAGAGGACATCACTGGTTACTTACTTGGTAAAAATAAATGCAAAGAAGGAAGAGAAGAAAGATGGTGGGTACAAACATATAATTTACATACTATTCAACAGTTCCTCTTAATTTTAAAGTAATGGCAGGAAAATAAGGTTTGAAAGGGGAGATCAGAGTTCTAAATTCAAAATCAAGTATATGCACCTATTATGTTCACAGTAGTCGTTCCTGTCCATTATCTAAATGTTGATAGCACCCCCTTTAAAAATAAAATAGAACAAAGTGGAAAAAAAAGAGAGAGAGAAAGCTCTAACAGAGACTGCTGTGTCCAGCAACGAGCAACTAGAGGTCCAGCATGTGCTAGGCCCTTTGCATTCCCAAAGAACTTGGCAGTGACGTGTTGTTGGAAAGTGTTGCTAAGGGTTTCACCCACATGGAAGTAATGGATATAAAAAGAGGTAAGGAGGAGAGAGAACAATACCACTACCCCATGCACACACACATAAATGCATACAGTAAGTACATAAGGTTTCCAAATATAAACACTTCCCATAAATATGTGGCAAGAGTCTCAGCAAGAGGCTAAACAAGCTACTCAAAATATGGATGGTGAACAATGTAGGTCCAGAGACTTTTTTTAAAAAAACAGTACAGATATTTATTAAAGAAAACCCTACCCTGACCAGTTTGGGTCAGAGGTTAGAGCATGTTGGCTCATAGATCAATGAGTCATGAGTTCAATTCCGGTCAAGGGCATGTACCTCGGTTGCGATTCATCCCCAGTCTTGGTTGAGGTCAAGCGGGAGGCAGCCACTAGACGTGTCCCTTTCATGTTAATGTTTCTCTCTCTCTGTCTCTGTGTCTCTCTCTCTTTCTTCTCCTTCTCCTTCTCCTTCTTCTCTCTTCCTCCAACTCTATCTGAAGATAAATGGGAAAATGTCCTCGGGTGAGGATAAAAAAAAAATCCACAAATAAACGGACCTACACAACTCAAATCCACGTTGCTCAAGGTTCAACTGTACTACTTAAATTCTCTGAATCTCAGTCTCTATAGCAATAAAATGGTCATAGTAACAGAACTTAACTCACGTTTATTTGCTCTCAGTCCTTGACAAAGTAAGTACCAAGATAGAGAAATACTGCTTCAATGACAATTATATTAAAGTATTTAAATTTATCAAAGTAACACACGGTACACATTAAATTTATAAATTATAACAAGTCATGTTTATCAAACAAAATATTTTAATTAAAAAATTTTTAAATAATTGAGAGTAAGCATTTAGAAACTCTGTAGCACACTGGCAGAGTTCTTTTATGTCTTGAATTTAATAATAAAAATTGGGACTTGCAATTTGTATGGTTTTGGTTTATTTCCCATTTCATTTTTTTAATTTCTTATTTCATTTATTTTATTTATCTTTATTATTGAACATATTACAGATGTTCCTCCTTTTTCCCCTCATTGAAACCCTCGTCCCAGATCCCACACCCCCTTTTCATTTTGCTATCCATTAATTTTTATTTCATTTTACAAAAAATGTATAAGTCCATGATGGATTAGAAATAAACACAAAAGTCATATTTCACCATGGATAACTTAAGAAACACTGTCTTAAAAAGATGGCGGCGGGCAGGGCCGGAAGGAGGGTGAGTGTGAGAGAGTGAACGAGTGTGTAAGAGAGTGTGAGTGGACGTGAAGGTGGACGACCAAACCCGAGCAGGGCAGAGCCGGGGAGCAGAAGGTTCCTGTGCTGTGGACGGAGCAGCCGGCTACCACAGTAAGCTGCCCTTCAGGGTGCTTCTCCCTGCGACACAGGGAGGTCCCACCACCTTGGAAGATCCCGGGTCTTCCCTGGGAGGAGGCAGTGGGAGTAGCTGGGGCCCAGCAACCTGAGCCACCAGTGCACCTGGCACCATCGGACACTGTCAACACAGATTATTGCACAGTGGTGGAGCTCCCAAGGTAATGGTTGCAGAAGCCGCAGACAGCCAAGAATCCAGTACCATCCCCCATAGTATCAGCCCATCAGAGTCGAGATATACCCACAGAAACAGAGGCTGGGGAGCAGACATCCATCCCCAGGCAACAGAAGCACAGACTAGCAGCTGAGACCCACCCGCAAAAACTACAGCAAAAGCTGAGCAGGAGTTGAGCCCCCCTGGGCAGCAGCACAACTCAGCCACCAGCAGCGGGACCTGGGGCTCCACAGAGGCATGTAGAGTCCAGTAGCCCACAAGAGCAGTGGGAAGCCAGAGCCCAAGAGAGACTGGTGCTATCCAGCTACTCTCCTGTGGGAACTGCAGGGTGCGGGGGGCACCAGAGAGGCTTGTGCCATCCAGCAGGCACTGTGCCGTCCAATTACCAGCAGGACCTGCAGGGTGCTGAAGCACCAGAGAGACCTGTGTGACCCAGCAACCCATAGACATAGGCAAAGAGCCAGGTCCCCAAAGGGACTGTGCGATCCAGTTACCCACAGGACTTGCAGGGTGCAGGGGCACCAGAAAGACCTGTGTGACCCAGCTGCATACAAGATAGGCTTAGAGGATGTGAAAATGGAGGCAGAGTGAATAGAAGCTACACAGAGGATCTCCCAGGAACAAACAAGAATTACAACTTAAATAAAGACAAATCTTCAGAAAAAAGCAACAGAAAAGCAGCAGGACAGGACCATATAACCAGGGACACTAGCAGGATCTGCA